TCCGCACTGGAATTGCTATTCATTCATTTCAAGTACCTATAGTTTAATTATATATTGAGTACATTCGAAGTATTTTGATTATTATTCTAACGTATGTTCATCATTTTAAATGTCTAGTGTCGATTTGCTTTGTTTCTATATGATTTTTAATACAATAAGAGAGGAATCATTAAAATTGCAGATCTAAAAGAATTCGTTGTATTTACTATACCGACTGATTCATGATTAGATATTGATAGGGATAAGGGTGATATTGAAATAAAACAGTATCATATAAATAAGTATTAGAGTACTGTGAACTATTTAACAAGCAAATTTTCTTTTGTATACTCATTTGTATATTATTGAAACAAAAAATTGTTTTCGACAGGAAGCTCCAATATTATTCTATTTGGAAACGTTGAATATATGTCATTAGAGAATCTTAAAATTAACATATTGCCTAGAAGTAATCAAAGATCAATCTCGATGAATGGGCAATGCCATTTACTTTATAATCGATTCATTCAAATTAAAACGCACCCTCTATTACCTGCTCCGAACTAGATGTAGCATACTGAATGAATGAGTGTAACCTTTAAAATGAATTTATATTTGGTTTGAATTCTTTGATTTTACGAAGCCATCGAGATTAAACAATTCTTTTTATTGTTAAATATTAAGGAATATCTCCATTTCAATATATAGTTCTAAATTTTCTCATATAGTAAAATATTCTAAACATACCTGATGGTGACCGAATTAAGCTTCGATCAAAACGCGTCGTATATACTGCTTTGAATCTATTATGATTGAGTTTATAACACACCCTAATCACAGAACCACACCGTGCAAATATCATTATAAATCACATATGCGATTATAAATTCAAGGGCATTCCACTAACAGAGTATGTAATTCTATTCGTTTGTTATAAGGGCATTCCGCTAACAGAGCATGTAATTCTATTGGTTTGTTATAAGGACATTTTGGCTAACAGAGCGTGTAATTCTATTGGTTTGTTATAAGGACATTTTGCCTAACATAGCATGTAATTCTATTGGTTTGTTATAAGGACATTTTGGCTAACATAGCATGTAATTCTATTGGTTTGTTATAAGGGCATTTCGCTAACATAACATGTAATTCTATTGGTTAAATAAAATGACCACTTGTTTTTCAGTCCATGCGAAGAAGAGCTATAAATAGAGATTCTTTTTTATTTTTTTTTAATTTAACCAAAATGGCTAGTACGAACATATCTGTTAACACTGAAATGAATGCTTTCGGTTCACATCGAATTGGCCAAGTCCATGTAAATATTTTTGAACCTATTTAAAATAATAAAATTTAAATCTTTATCTTTAGGGCTTAGTTAAAACTACCATGGACTTGGTCTTCGTGAAGACTGTTCGCGTAAAAATCATCGTAAGCAGAGATCCACACTAAACGATATGTTTTAATATATATATATATATATTATTTTAGAAATACGATTTACCACAAGCACCAGCCGGTGATGATGATGATGATGAAGACGTCGATATGGCCATTATCGACGACGATGACGATGAAGATGATACTAATAGTATTATTAGTATCAGTAGCGATACTGATACTAATACAACTATTACTATCAGTAGCGATAGCGATACTAATAGTTCTATTACTATTAGTAGTGATACTGATAGTAATGCAACTATTAGTATCAGTTCAGATTCTGATACCAATAGCATAGCGAGTATTATCAGTGATCCATCAACAGACACAAATGAAGATATGGACATGTTCTAATTTAATTAAATCTTCTTCTTTTTTTTTATTATTTATGTGAAATTGTGTACAAAATAAGTTGAAACAATAAACTATGAGCGAACTTGAATTAATTTTTTTTAATTGTTAGCATGATAATCGAATGTATGCTAACATACACGCGATTGTGCCAAGAAGTACGTCCCTCACAAAGGGCGAGATTAGATAGGGGTTATATGAACCACTGGACGCCCGCTCATAAGTCATAGAACTAATGAACATATAGTCGTGACGTAATTGAACTTAGAGTGCTAATGGACATCCTTTCATATGACGACTCATAATCACCCACTGAACAATAAGTAATCGTTCCCTGTATCCTTCTCTTTCTCTATATCATTTTCTCCCTATATATCTTTTCGTCTCTATGTATCTTCTCTCTTTGTTGCTCTCCCTCCTATTTATATTTCTCCTTATTCTCTCTCCAGTATAAAAACTCCCGTTCCATGTGAAAGATAGAGGAGCATAAGAGCAGTATAAAAGTAGTAATATTAGAGTAGTGTGTTGCGCAATTGAGTCGAGTTCACTTTTAAACAAGTCAAGTTAGAATTTAGTAGTGCGTTGTAATACGTACGATTGTATTCGGTTGTATTGAAAGACAACACATAGAACTCATTTTGGACAAAAATAAATTCATCGTGTGGAAACGTTGTTAATATTATACACACAGTGGCTAAAATATATAGCTGATACTGATCTACACTTTGTTGTCCATCATCCTAGCAGGATATATACACAATTCTATATATCTCGATAGTTATTTGAAGAATATTTACACGACCTAAAGATTTTTCCGTTACAATGTTCTCCTATGCACTAACTCCTAGCTATATAAGCCGTAGCATTACTATGGTGTAGTCTATATGAAAAAGGAAAATTCGACTCTCTACAAAATATTTCTCTCGTATTTATTGATTCTCATCAAGATTTTTTGAGTCAAAGTTCGAGTAAGAAAAACAAATAAAAATATAACTATTTCCGTTAATAATATATAGTACATCATCTCCTACTTACAGCCCTGACACCTAGAGACAAAAAACCTTTTCCTATTAATACACTTCTAACGATTCGCACACTTCTGAACTATTTTCTTTTTTTATTTTACCTGTAAGATACTTTTCGGAGTAGTAATTTCAATAGATATTCATTGCTAATTTGTAGATACCGATTGCTATAATATGAGGACTAATGGAATCAAATGGAACTACTTTTTAGTGTTAATCTAGAAACTCTCGTTTGAATGAACTTTTTACTCTACCGATTTCGATCATACTATAGAGAACTTCACATTAATTCTGGCCAAATGATTATCACATTCTTTGCACTATTCATAGAGACAAACATTGATATCCATCAGTTTGAATAACTTTCAATGTTCTATAAAGCTAGATTCATATTTTACCAGGGCTGGACTTTAAATAGTTCCTTGACTCATGTAAGTGCAATTATTTCATCAAAGTATTACAATTTAGATAACTACGGGCATGTATCTAATAGAAAGATACTTCATTCTATTGGTCTACTTTCTGTTCTTAACACATACTCAGTAGCATAGCTAGGCGAATGACCATTTGACAATTGTCCGATGCTGAAAAACCCTGATACATATATATGTTCGACGATAAATCGTTTTTTTTTGTTGTAAAACATTGCTTTGAAAACCAACGTCTCTTACTGTGATCTAATCAAATGATTCAGAAAGATGAACCAACAATCTTTTTCATTGAATCGAAGGTTATAAGACTAAAAGTTCAACAGTATCTTTTCGTCAACGTACTCGCTAATTCATTCGCTTATACAAGCGCGAATGATTGCTTAGTGATCTTGGTGAGCACATCCAACCACATCGAACGGAAATGGTTGATGCAATTCAAACTTAAGAGTCAACAATTTGATGATGTAGACGATGAGATGATTCTCACATCATCCGAATGAAACACCTATGCAAACGGAATAGAAAATGCAGACGAAAACGAATTCAATCTAGAAATGGAAGTTCTTCGAAAATACAATAGAGAATTTCGAGTGGTAACAACAACATAATAATATCTATAACCTTAAAAAATATATATAAATAAACATCAAAAGCGTACCAGTGAAAATTTGCAGTAATGATACGATTCAATAGCGATATATTTCAAGAAGTGTTCCCCATTGTTTAACAGAATAGGACGAATTAATTGTCGACTTTGTTCAAAAAAGATTTTAAAAAGAGTGACCTTTGCTCTTATTTAACACAAAAAGAACAGATTATCACATCCATCTTGTTCTGAATCAACCGAGCATGACCAACTGGAAATTGTTTCTCTTGAACTTATTCAACCAATTCGTGTTGAATCCAAAGAAACAGAACATAACGTATCTTCTAACGAACACGAAAACTTACATATTATCGATTCTCATCCAAATACTCAAGATAACGATATTGACTTTCAACTATTACTACCTATCTCTCTCACGAACGAAATTAAATACCAACTTCCAACAAAACTATTTCCAACTAGTAAGAAATATAGATGTCCAAATCAAGAAGACAAAGGTGAAACAATGCATTGGTTCATGGCTATCTGACTGGTCCAGCATCCATCTCTCTCGTATTCATTCTGCTACGTAGGAGCATTCTATTCTACCTGCTCTCTATTCTCATCTTTGACTTCAAATCAATCAATTGTGATTTTCTTTCAATATCCATGTTCTCGATTTAGCCATCTAGAACATTTTTCTACATTCATTGAAATTCACCATAATTCGGAAAATGACAAATTGGTTACTACTGAACATACCGCCAACTTATTTCACACGTTCGAAAATCCATCTTCCAATATTGATTATCAGCTCGATCGAAACAAATCTGTACTTCTCTCGATTATTAAGATGATGATTATCTTTACTCGACAAAATATTGGCGTTCCGAGTCATCAAATTAAGCTCTTCTCAGTACCTACTAAAGCTTCTAATTGAAAATGGTTTTCTAGACGAGGAAAATCATATCAATTCGAGAACATCGCGATGCAGTTGAAAAGTCTTCTGGGTCGAATTTCATTTCACTTCTAACAACAACGTATTGACGCTGAAAGTGACCTCCTTCAATCCCAACACTCGAATGTGAAAAATATTGTATTGCTAAAACTCCGAATCCATGGATATAAACAGAATACCTTCCTACAGTCATGCATAAATATTTCGAGTCTCATTTTACCAGGCTCCACAGGATAGGGTACTGAATCTAAGAATGAGAAATTTAATAAAAAACAAACAAGAGAATCTACCTGAATCGTAAACGATCCAATCCGAAAAGATAACCGATCAAAAAATATCGCTATACTGTTGCTTTACTATGATATACACATTCCAGTTTGTAACTGTAACCAATTCTTTATCAACGGAACACGGAATCATCGAATCAAAGGTAAACAAGTCGTAGTCCTTAATACATTATACCCATATTAAAAATATATACAAACCAAAAGTACTCAGTCCCCACAGCCTGCATCATCAGACTACGTCTACTTAGGCAATGTTCGAAAATGACCACACCTTCAGCCACAAATGACACATTCATATGACACTGACTTTTATGCAAGCTATTGCTAATAGAGCCAAAGTTCATTCCCTATGAGACCACTGATTTCACACATTTTCAAGCAATCGCATGACTCTCTAACTAAGTTTCTGTATTCACGTTTACGAGACCAACACGTCGTTTGATTTAAAATCGAAGTTCATAAGACGCTACATCCCCTACGTCTAGTGATGGTCCGAAACATATTCGACTATTGTGAAAGAGTATATGTTATCGTCGCATACGAAGGATGAGAAGAAAATGAAGCGTATTGTAATGACACAAAGTCTTTCTTCCTATTCGACTATAACGTAAACTAGACGTAACATTTTACGTTATACCGTATATTATTTACGTTTTCGTTTTGTTCTGTGTTATGACGTCCTGCACACAATACATATGTGTTGTAGAAGAACAATTAAACGACACAAACGATGCACATATTTTTTACGCCTAACGTGACATAACGTAATAAAGGTATGTTACGTTATCAAAAAAAAGTTTTTATTTGGCCATTACATATCAATATCTATATTAGTGTATTTATCTATTACAAAAACTAAACGAAAACATTAGAGTTTTGTGACATTTCTTCTCGAAGAAACTATATTCAGCCTTGGTTTTAAAGGTCAGTATGAATATGAATGAGAAATTAATCGTAATGAAAAATCCTATTAGATGGTAGAACCGCAACAAAACGAAATATCCAATTATTGCCACAATTGGCATATAAATACTTATGCATTACTGGTACAAGTGTACCTTCAGAAAGAATGTTCTCAGCATCAAGTTACTTAACGCCAGATAGGCGTTCAAGATTAGCACCTGAAAATGCTTATGTTTTGTTATTTATAAACAAAAATTTATCAAATATGTCGATAAAGCTAGTCATACGTGCTTTAATGTATTGATCCCCTTTGTTTTATTTTCTACTATTAACTCATTTGAAATTTCAAGTTATGATAAATAAATTTATGAAACAAACTATAAATAATATAAACTAGTGCATTGAAAACGTCAAACATCTATTAAGTGTGAACGCAACCATAAAATCAAATGAAAAAATTTCTGACTGTATGAAAAAAACTTCAGATAGATATATATATATATATGGCAAGAAACAAAGTAATCGATTAAATTGTTTTCAAGTTCAAAAAAAAAAGTTTAGTAATTGTTTCGAATCGTTAGACATCTCATCTTTTTACTATTTCAACTGTATGATCTTGATAGAGATACTTTTATACAAAGCAATTCAATTGAATCATTTATATTCTAAGATTCTTTCTAAATCTTTAATTTTCTTTTCTCTCCCAATATAAATCATTATATAATCCTCATATTCTAACTTTCGTTTCGCCGCAATTATATGTGCTTTCGTGCGTTCTGATTTTATGTTTCATTCAGTACGTAACTATACGAT